TCGCAGTCAAAGTCGGGTACAAGGTGTCGAACAATGAGGCCGAGTACGAGGCAGTTATTAAGGGGATGCAGTTGGCTATGGCAGGAGGAGCTCGGAAAGTGCAAGTATACTCTGATTTCCAATTGGTGGTGGGCCAGTTTCAGGAGGATTTTAAGGTAAAGGAGGAGAGAATGCAAAGGTACGTTGAAGAGATGAAGAGATTGTGCGTAGAGTTTAGCTCATTCGAACTAGTGCAAATACCTCGTGGGGAGAACGGTCGAGCAGACCTGCTATCCAAAATCGCGCAGAATCTGGTCGATTGTAAGAGCAGAAGTGTCACTTTGCTGCACATGGAGAGGAGTGCGGTCGAGTATGAGTTGGCGGAGATAGAAGAGGTCGACGATTGGAGAACCTCGATACTGAAGGAGTTGAGAGAAGGAGGAGTGAAGGTGTTAAGGAGGTTTTTCGAGCACAATGGGGTGTTGTATAAGAGGTCGTATGCCGGACCTCACCTGAGATGTGTAGCGCGAGAAGAGGGTCGATACGTGTTGAGGGTGACCCATGAGGGATGTTGCAGCGATCATAGTAAGGCGGGATCTTTGGTGGCGAAGATATTACGAGCAGGATATTTCTGGCCGACCAGGAAGGAGGATGCGAAGGTAATGGTGAGGAAATGCTTGCAGTGCCAGAAGCATGGCCCACTCATTCATCAGCCGGCGGAGACGATGACAACGATGAGTGCCCTTATCCCATTTGCGCAGTGGGGTGTCGATCTGGTGGGGCCGATGCCACAGGGAACGGGGCAAAGGAAGTTTTTGATCGTGGCAGTGGACTATTTCACGAAGTGGGTCGAGGCCGAGCCGCTGGCAAAAATCACGGAGGAAAAAGTCATACAATTTTTATATAACAATATTTGCTGCAGGTTTGGTGTCCCAAAGGTGTTGGTGTCCGACAATGGGACGCAATTCAATGGCAAGCGGATCCGAGCATGGTGCGAAGACATGAAGATCGAGCAACATTTCGCGTCAGTTGCTCATCCGCAAGCCAATGGACAAGTCGAGGTGACCAACAGGATCATATGAATGGCCTAAAAACAAGGTTGGAGAAGGCGTCAGGCGCATGGGTTGACGAGCTCACTTCCGTACTTTGGGCATATCAAACAACGCCTAGGTCGACCACGGGAGAAACACCATTCAGCCTGGTGTAGGGCATGGAGACACTGCTTCCGATAGAGAGTGAGGTCCAGTCGCAAAGATCGAGCACATACAATCCTGAACAAAATGAGAACTTGATGATGGCAGCCCTGGATACGATTGAAGAACTTCGGGAACAGGCCTCGATCAGAGTTGAGGCGTACAAGCAGAGGATGCGGGCAGCGCATGATAGGAAGGTGAAAGTCAGGAGATTCCAGGTGGGCGACCTGGTTTGGAAAAGGGTGGACGTGCTGAAGCATGTGGGCAAGCTCGAGCCCAACTGGGATGGACCATACTTGGTCGAGAAGGTTCATGCAGGAGGAACATACTCACTCAAGGATGCTGAAGGAAGATCATTACCCAGGTCATGGAATGTGGCTAACTTAAAGAAATATTATGTTTAAAATTTTTGTCCTTTCTTTCTCTTGTCGGAAACTTTCCACAACAAAATGATGTACTGAAATTCCCAATTTGAATAAATTAAATTGCTGTTCAATTTTCACTACTTTGCCTAATCGATTGCTTTAATTGTATTGTGCATATGGGGTGGTCTATGTTGAATGACTGATCGAAGAAAAAATCCATCATGACTAAGGCCGAGAGGCTGGATGGTCGCATGTAACGACCACCCCTTTGAGGGTGGACATGTGCTCGAAGACAAAAAATCCATCATGACTAAGGCCGATAAGCTGGATGGTCGCATGTATCGACCACTCCTTAGAGGGTGGACATGTGCTCGAAGACAAAAAATCCATCATGACTAAGGCCGAGAGGCTGGATGGTCGCATGTAACGACCACCCCTTTGAGGGTGGACATGTGCTCGAAGACAAAAAATCCATCATGACTAAGGCCGAGAGGCTGGATGGTCGCATGTAACGACCACCCCTTTGAGGGTGGACATGTGCTCGAAGACAAAAAATCCATCATGACTAAGGCCGAGAGGCTGGATGGTCGCATGTAACGACCACCCCTTTGAGGGTGGACATGTGCTCGAAGACAAAAAATCCATCATGACTAAGGCCGAGAGGCTGGATGGTCGCATGTAACGACCACCCCTTTGAGGGTGGACATGTGCTCGAAGACAAAAAATCCATCATGACTAAGGCCGAGAGGCTGGATGGTCGCATGTAACGACCACCCCTTTGAGGGTGGACATGTGCTCGAAGACAAAAAATCCATCATGACTAAGGCCGAGAGGCTGGATGGTCGCATGTAACGACCACCCCTTTGAGGGTGGACATGTGCTCGAAGACAAAAAATCCATCATGACTAAGGCCGAGAGGCTGGATGGTCGCATGTAACGACCACCCCTTTGAGGGTGGACATGTGCTCGAAGACAAAAAATCCATCATGACTAAGGCCGAGAGGCTGGATGGTCGCATGTAACGACCACCCCTTTGAGGGTGGACATGTGCTCGAAGACAAAAAATCCATCATGACTAAGGCCGAGAGGCTGGATGGTCGCATGTAACGACCACCCCTTTGAGGGTGGACATGTGCTCGAAGACAAAAAATCCATCATGACTAAGGCCGAGAGGCTGGATGGTCGCATGTAACGACCACCCCTTTGAGGGTGGACATGTGCTCGAAGACAAAAAATCCATCATGACTAAGGCCGAGAGGCTGGATGGTTGCATGTAACGACCACTCCTTTTGAGGGTGGACATGTGTTAAAAAGGCATTTCGAATCATCAAGAATCATTAATTTACCAGGATTAATTAACTGGTGTGACTTAAACAATGGGTGAACACGACATCGACACACAACATTAGGGCAAACTGGGCGATAACGAAGACGACAAATGGAATGGCACATCAGCGGGCGCACAATTAAGTAATAACAAGAAAAATTCATAGACTTCAACAAGAGTAATAGTCGCTTAATGGGAAGGGAGTACAAAGTTTAACAAAAATACAATGACAACTTCACAATGCGGAATCACTCTGGTCCTCGGAGACATGGGAGTCGTTGGGGGCTGGTCCCGCTGAAGGCTCTAGCGGTTGCGACACCGTCCTCGTCAGCTGACAGGAGCTGGAAGTCGACTCAGTTCCTTCGGGACACTGATTCTGACGGGTGAGAGGAGGCGTATAACCATTTGGCAGTTTGAAATGACGGTTTAGAAGATCGTCGCCGTCCACGACAAGCTCGAGGAGACCGGACCACCAGTCGTGGTCAGGGGGTAAGTCAAGGGAGCTTTGGTAGCCGGCGGGTGCTTTAGGCACGGCGTCCTAGATAGCCTTCATATTGAACTCCTCGAAATTGTCCTCGGCTACCTGGGCTCCTGCTTGCTGCATAATGGCTGCAAAGCAGTGGGTGCCATAGTCTTGCACATCCTTCAGATATTGCGGCGACTGTTTGAAGGCAGCCACCACTTGTTCGCGATAGGATTCCAAAAAGCGCGGGCCCGCGGTATTGTGGAAGACCACTCTCCGCGCCCGAAGAACAGCCTCGTCGATGAGAGGTTTGGCCCGTTGTTCGAAGGCAAGATACTCACGTGCTCGAGCGGCCTTCTCTTCCTCGAGCGCAATCTCGAGAGCTTTCTGCGAGGCCAGAAGGGCCTCTTTCTCCGCTCGCTCGGCTGCGAGAGCTTCCTCGAAGGATTTTAGGGACCCCTCGAGCGTTTCCTTCTCAGGGCTTTATTCCAGGCGGCCGACTCCTTCAGCCTTTCGTGAAGTGCATTGGCCTTGACGACCATCTCATCCAGCCGAGTGCCGAGCTGGAGATTGCTCCACTCGATGGTTGAGATGGACGGACTCGGGCTCGCTAACTTCTGCTCGATAAACGGCGCGAGCTCGACCATTCCTTATAAAGGTGCATAAAAGAAAGTGTTAGGACACTAACGAGAGGAAGAAAGGGAATAAAATAGATAAGTGTTAGGTGACAGTAGGTTACCTGAGCCAGCCAGCGGGCAAGCCGATGGCCTCGATCTTGAAGTGTGTGACCGTCGTTATAGCGGTCAAGGGGATGGTCGACAGGGGGAAGAACATCCCTGAGGTAATGCGAGAACCTGGGACCGTCGAGCGTGGTAATTGAGAGGGCGGTCTCCTCGACACGACGACGCTTGCTGATAATTTCATCCCCCTCAGCAAGAGACCGCTTCAGTTGACTCTCCTCGAGCAGAGTCCTCTCGGGAGAGGCGGGAATATGAATGATTGGGGTGATCTGGTCGTGTGGAGGTGAACGCGGCAGGGAAAAGGCCGATTGGTCGAGCTGTGTTGACTGCTCGGACTGCTCGGGGGAGAGTCCTCTCTTCAGGTCATGATGTTTTCTATTTTGCGTGATTATAACATGAAGTTAAATCCTAAAAAATGTACTTTTGGCGTCGATTCTGGGAAATTTGGGCTACATCGTTAGCCAGCGTGGCATCGACGCGAACCCCGAGAAGATCCGAGCAGTCCAGGACCTCCGACCGCCGACCTCGATTAAGGGAGTCAAGAGTTTATCCGGCAAACTTGCCGCATTAAGCCGATTCATCTCTAACTCAACAGACCGGTGTAAGCCTTTCTTTGACGCCATCAGAAAAAATGATAAGTTTGAATGGACTCCCGACTGCCAAAAAGCGCTGGAAGCCATCAAGGAGACCCTTAGTCGATGCAAAAACCACGCCCAGGCGAGATGCTCTATCTGTACCTGGGAATATCCGATGTGGCCGTAAGTGCCGCCCTGATCCGGGAGAAGGACTCCAGCCAATACCCGATCTACTATGTAAGCAAGGCACTTTACGATGCCGAGCTGCGGTACCCGCCAATGGAGAAGCTCGCTTTCGCTTTAGTGTAAGTGAAGTCATGCTGGTAGCTGGTTATTGTTCTCTTATAAAAATGAATACCCGACCTTTGCCCCTCAATGAAACAAACCCTGTCATTTGTTTGTATAGGTGTCTTCCTTGGCAATTGCGTTCTAGAAAGAAGGGTTTGATCTTCTGGTATGGAGTTTTGTTTTGTTGTTACGACAGACTGAGAGCACCTTCCAACCTGCTCTATGAGAGACCTGGAGTTCGACTTTCTGTTCGTTCAGTCCGCAGCCCGGAAGCTGAGACCATACTTCTTAGAGTACTCGGTCACCGTCCTCACCACCTACCCCCTTAGACAGATCCTACACCGACCTGACACTTCCGGTCGGATGGTGAAATGGGCGGTGGAGTTGGGACAGTACGACATCCACTACCGACCTCGAACAGCAATGAAGGGGCAGGTACTATCGGACTTCATAGCTGAATTCACGCCAGGGATCAAGGAAGCGAAGGGTGAGGAGCCTTGGGTGATGTACGTGGACGGGTCCTCTACTGCCGGACGAGCAGGCGGAGGGGTCGTCCTCGTGGATCTCTTAAAGAAACTCTTCTGTCATTCAATCCAGTACCTCTTCCCGGCGACTAACAACGAGGCCGAGTATGAGTCATTGCTATCCAGGCTCGCCCTGGCCGAAGCCATGAGCCTGACCAACCTCATCATATACTCCGACTCAATGTTGATGGTCAAACAAGTCTCTGGGGAATTCGAGGTCAAAGAATCAAGACTGGTCCCCTATCTGGGAATGGTGAAGAAAAAGTTGGCCAAACTCCAGACTTGAATAGAACACATTCCTAGACAGAGAACGTGCAGGCTGACGCCTTGGCCCGCCTCGCCTGGAGTGCCGGGGTGGAAAGCGTTGAATATGTCCATGTCGGCCACAAAGAACAACCGTTGGTGCTCGGCACTTCCGTCCTAAGTGCCGGTCAAGTCGCTGAAGACGAGGAACCCAGCTGGATGGTACCGATCTGGTCGTATCTCAAGACGGGTGCGTTGTCTCTTGACCCAAAAGAGGCCAGACAGCTCCGTACCTGGGCAGCTCGGTTTACGATCGTGGCCAGTAAGCTATTCAAGAGGGGATACTCGGCGCCCTAACTCAAATGCATAGACGAGAAAGGCGCCGAGTACATTCTTAAAGAGATTCACGAGGGTGTTTGCGGAAACCACTCCGGCGGATACGCCCTCACCCACAAAGTCCTCAGGTAAGGGTATTACTGGCCTAGCCTGAAGAAGGACGCCCTGGACATGGCCCGGAGATGCACAAAATGCCAAACTTTCGCGCCAAACATCATCCAACCTTCCCAGTCTTTGAAATCGATCTCCGTGGCCGTTCGCCAAGTGGGGTATCGACCTGATCGGCCCTTTACCTACCGGAAAGGGCAGAGTGAAGTATGCGATTGTCGCCGTGGATTAATTCACGAAATGGGCAGAGGCCGAGCCGCTCGCTATCATCATAGAGCAGAAGATGGTCGACTTCCTATGGACATCCATCATATGTCGTTTTGGAGTGCCGAACTCGATAATCCCCGATAACGGAAGACAATTTGAGGGGAAGAAGTTGGAGACATTTTGCGAAGAGCATGGCATCAGACATTTCTTCTCGACACCCTATCATCCTCAATCCAATGGCCAGGTCGAAGTTGTCAATAAGATAATCATACAAGGGCTTAAGGTCCGACTTCAAGCCGCGAAAGGGAGCCGACCTGAGGCTTCACAGCGATCGCTTTAGGGGCAGGTGCGGAGCTTAATAATGATATAATAATGCCACTTCGAAAGTAATCATTGGTGATTGGACAAGGCGTCATATCCTGCCGGCCTACATCGACTAGCCAAGACATAAAGCCTGCCAGCATTAAATTCCCCCAATGTGTGCATTAAATGCCTGACAGGCAATGATTAAGAAAACCTCAAATCGCATTAATATCTGTCAGGGAGGCGCCGAACTTCTCTGCAGGAACACTGTGCGACAAGACCGGTGAACAGTACCTGAACAGTGCCACATTTAAGAGCACTATAAATAGAAGCCCACTTCTTTTTTTTTTTGGGTTATTGAATCCTCAACTAAGAGAATCTCTCTTTCTAAGCTTGTAATAAACCTCTGTAAGAATTTGTAAGGATCCAGACTCCCACATCGGCCTCTACGATGGGAGCTCGGATCCAGACTCCCACATCGGCCTCTACACCTCTTGGATGGACCTGCACGGCGCGACGGATGCCTTGCGTTGCTGCATGTTTACCCTGACGCTAGGGCCCAAAGCGTAGAGGTGGTATCATTCTCTATACCCTTACTCCATCTCCACCTGGGGGCAACTTAGGTCGGCATTCCGAACGCACTTCATAGGGTCGCAAATCAACCTCGCCCCCAAGAAATCCATTACCAACATTGTCCAAGGCGAGAACGAGAGCCTGAAGCACTATATTACTCGGTTTAACGACCGATTTCAAAACATGGAGCGGTGCCACCCTGATGCACTACTGATCACCTCAGGGCGGTCCGAGACCGAAGACGCTATTCAAGTGGTCCCTGTGCCAGAATAAGCCGACCACCTATCCCTGAGCAGTGCCGGCACCGGAGCCGACGCCAAACAGGATCTCCTTCACTGATGAGAACAACTTCTTGTTCGACAACCCCCACTCTGACGCCCTGGTGATCACGGCGCCTGTAATGGCGATAAGGATCCACCGCATCATGGTTGACACCGAGGCCTATGCGAGCATTCTCTATTGCAGTACCTTCAAGAACATGGGGATCGACGTGAAAGAGGTGCAACCCTGTCGCGAGCGAATTCAGGGTTTCAATGGGAAAACGACGGCCCCCATAAGCCAAGTCGTACTACCAATCCGGTTTGGAGAGAAGGGGCAGCCCACGAAGATGATTCTGGAAACCTTCAAGATCGTGGACTGCCCGAGCGAGTACAACGCCATCCTGGGCAGGATGACCCTCTACAAGCTAAAGGCCGCTGTCTCCATATTCCACTACTCCCTAAAATTCCCGACCTCAGATGGAAAAGGAACCCACTGCAGACATCAGAGGGAGGTGAGGGAGTGCGTCTTGAGCATCCTGCGAGCAGAGATAAACGCAGCAGACCCCATTCCCGATGTCGAGACGGGAGATGCCGAGCTGGCAGCTAACTCGAAGCCGACACATGGCGGCCCGAGGGGCAACCGCATGCTGGGAGACCAGATAGGTGGACTGCGTTAAGTGCCGGCCCAATCAATGCGGGATCCGAGGCGGAGATGGAAATGACCAGCGACCAAAACACTCCTAATGCAAGTGCTGAACCGGTTCACCCTGGCCAGGGAGACGACCGCATGCTGGAAAACCAAACAAGTCCGCTCCCCTCGGCTGGCGGTAACACCGGCCAGGCAGAAGAAGAGCCCAGGGCCGTCCTGGGCCTAGACAGAGGGAGAAGGGCCGGCAAAGAGCCGGTCACAGAAGAAGACGAGCTCGAGCCCCGGACCCAGTATGAAGAAAAACGAGGGACAAAAAGGGCTGAGCCCATGGACGAAGTTGAAGTCATCTTCATCGATGAAGAGACTTGTCAGAAATAAGTGAGGAGTTGGAGCAAGCTGCCAGGACCGTTAAAACCCAAACTGACCAAATTCCTCTGGGAAAACGCGGACGTTTTCGCGTGGACCCATGAAAACATGGTCGGCATCAACCCGCGGGTCGCCTGCCACCGGCTGCAGGTCAACCCCACGGTCAAGCCGATCGTGCAAAAGAGAAGAAAGCTCATCCTGGACCGACAACAGGCCATTGAAGAAGAAGTGGTCAAGCTCAAAGATAATGAATACATTCGTGAAGTCTGGTACTGTAATGCCCCATTTATTTGTGATTTATTTGAGCTATTATTATTATTATTATTATTATTATTATTATTATTATTATTATTATTATTATTATTATTAGTATTGTGATAATATTAATTACTGCTTGCCAAATTGAATGTCAAAATATTATATGTCTAATTGTCTAATTGTCTAAATGATTTATTTGTTATTATTTTATAAATGTGTAAAATATGTATTAATATATACAGATAAATATATTTGTTGTTCGATTTATCGTGCGTTTGATTTTATACCGAGCCCGAGAATATTCACGCGGATCGAGCCATTTTATTTTGGCAAAATAAATCGGAGAACCCGAGCCCGAGAGCCGAATATATATATTAACGTGCGATTTTATCGAGCCCGAAAATACCCGCGTGAACCGAACTTGAGCCTGTGAGCCGTTTTCATTGTCGCGAACCAGCCCGATCGACCGGCCCCCGAGCCAAAAACTGGCCCAAAGCTCATGAAAACCGACCCAATGACCCAAACCTGTTTCTCTCTTTGTGAGCGTGAGAATATTTTTTTTCTTAAGAGGCAATATAATCAAAAACCTAGTTCTAATTGTGCGCAGCTTTTCTTTCCTCTCCCTCACGCCCGCTGTTTGTCATTCTCTCTCTCTCTCTCTCTGCACTTCGCCGTCCATCATCTTTGTGATCCTTCGTCATCATCCTCCTCGTGAATCCATCACCACCGTTGTTCTTTTTCCTTCATTCCTTCATCATCGTCCGATCATCATCACTGTCGCCTCCCGTCGCCGCCATCACCTCTGTGTTCAGAAACTCGCCGCGCTGCAACCAACTTTTCCGCCTTCGCCGCGCCGCGACCAGAGCTCCGCCGCACCGCGACGCCCTTCCCGTCACGCCGTGAGGCTTTCCCCCCGATCGCTGTTCGTGAAATTTTTCCGGCGGCTCTGTTCCTTGAATCGTCCGGCGAGTTCGTTGTGCAATCCGCGACCACCGGCGAGCTCCTTCTCCGGTGACCTAGAAGCAGCGACCCTCTTCTCTCTCAGCCGCTGCAGCGCCTTCCTCTTCCGGCGAGACACGAGCCTCCGTCGAGCCCGTTCGTGTTCGTGACGTTTTTCGAGTTGTTCCCGAGAACGGTACCTCGTCGTTTTTTCGTCTCGTTTAACTCGTATATGATTTATTTCGTTATGTGTTTATTGTCGTGAAGTGCTCGTTGATCAATGATATATATGTGTGAAGTTCTTGATGTGATTATGTGCGTTATATATTTTTATGATTTTATGTGTTCGTGTGTTCGGGACCTCTTCGATTTTCTCAAG